TTTTTCCTTCCCGTTATTACCACCACAATTAGTGTTTTTATACTGTAACTGTTATATCTATGACAGTAGCAATTCCAAAAATAACGAAGAGGAAACAATAAAATAGGAATAATAAGAACCATTACGATTAATGGTGGTAATATTAACAATAACGTTATTACTAATGTTATTACTAATATGACTGTTAGTATTAATGTTAGTATTAATATTTATAGTTATTCTAGTAATGATAATAGTAATAACATAAAAAGGAATAGTAACAATAATAATAATGATAACAGTAATAGTGATAGTAACAGCAAAAATAGTACTGTTAGTTTGTCATTCTTCTGAATAGCCATTACCTCCGGATTAGCATGATAACGACCGTCACCAACGACAACGATAACATAGCATCAGTAACGAGGAAGAGCATAGTAGCAACAGAAGAATAGTATGGTATCATTTACCTTTCAAGGATTATTGATTATCTCTTTTTTTTTTAACCGTAAAGCTATGAAGGAGTTAATTATTGATATTTGAAAAACTGTTATGTGCACTCTATGAGTTGTGCATTGTACACTCCGATGAATGCTTCGAAGCACTCCGGAGAGACTGGAACTGTTGCTGCTGCTACTGCTGCCGTTGCCGTTGCAGCCGTTACTGAGCAGCAGCAACCTTTGCTTTTACCCCGCAAGAGGACGGACGATGTTGTCCTACAGATGTTGTTCGCTAGGGGCAACATTTGCTATTGCAGCGGTGGCAGCAGATCCACGGCTGCTGTTGCAGGGCGGTAAACATGGTTAGCAGGAAAAAAAATTTTTTTCTCTTTTTGCCTGCAGGCGAAAATATTGCACTTAAGGGCATTAGTTTTTTTTTTCGCCGTCTTTCAAGAAGGTTATTTTGGCGCATTTGTTTATCAGTTTCACTTTCGGTGCACTTTTGTCTGCATAAAAAAAATTCCACATTTTTTTTCTTTCAATTTTTTTATTCTTTTGTTTTTTCTTTTTATTTGTTTGTTTATTTGTTTTTTTTTTTCTTTTACGAAGCTTCCCCGTATTCGTCATCCCCGCCGTCTCCATCCCACTCCGCAATCCACACCATCAAATTTGCCAATTTCTCTCTCACTTTGCTATAGTATCCCCGTCCTTGCCTTCCCCTTCTAGCTACTCCCTTTCCTTGCCCAACCCCTCCCCCCTCTGCTTCTCCCCCTACTCGTCTCCTTCGTCTCGTCACCTAACCCCGCAGTTTTGTGTCTGCCGATGTTGATTTTATTGTTCATTTTGTTGCAGCAAACGGATTTAGAAAGGCAGCGCAAAAAACTGCACGGCAGGGAGAAAGATTGGAAACTGGGGAAGACGGAAAGAGTTTGAAGGAAAAAAAAATACAACAAAAAAAAAAAAATAAGAGTTTTTGTACACCTTCACTTTTATTTGTAGTAATAATAACTTTTTCCTGAAATGAAGGGAAGAAAGCAGTGTTTGTTCTGCTGCAGAAATTGAACTATTTACTTTGAAAGATTGCGAGCAAAAAATAAAGAATAAATAAATAACACGTACAACACATTTAACCGTACATACCCTTTTTTCTTTTGGGAACTGTTTTCCAGACTTTTAAACCTTTTCCACAGTGCTGAGCGTCTAAGCATCATCAGATTATTTCGCTGCTGCCAGAAAAAAAAAAAGCACTGGTTGTTAATGTAGACTCATTTATCAACTTTTTAGACAAAGGGTCAAATTTTACACATATATCTGTGCATAATTTCTATGTATGATTCAAAATCTCTACATAGGAAAGTAAAATGATTTAATGTTGAAATGAAAATGTTTTTTTTGTTTTTGTGTTCAGAAGAAGTGTAAAATTTATATGTTGTTCTTAGTTGTAATCTTAGGCAATCAAGAAAAAAAAAACTATTAGTCTGGTACTGCAAGAGACCTAACCATATTTCTTTTACAGATGAAAATGAAGACAAAAAATGAAAAAACGAAGTAGCGATGGAGGGGAAGCGGTGAAAAAATGGAAACGGATATGTACAGAGTGAGTATGAGACCGATAAATTAATGGATTTGCTTCTGTTAATGGGGGAAACGATTTGATTTGCTGTTAAACTGATGGAAGGGAAGGGAGAGGATAGACGGCAGAGGCTGAGAGCAAAGATGAGGGTAGAGACGTAGAGAATAAGTGGGGTATTTTGTATGATTGAAGCAAAAATTTTTTTGTATACTATTTTTGTTTTCGATAAAGTAATAATTACAAAAATTAATTAATTTTTTGAAAATTTTTTTCAGCCTCTTTTAACTTTTTATTGATTGTAGTCATATCAATATTGAAAGCAACAACACTTGCAGCAGTATTAATAACATTAACAGGGAAGAAGTAGAGAGAGGGAGGAGGGGAGTGGGGTAAGGGAGTTAAAGAGTGGAGGTTAGAATTGGCAGTAACAATGATAATGGTAGGAACAGTTTAAATCTGATCATTACAGTATCCATATTTGCAGAATTGTTTTTGATTTTTATAGTAATGGTGTCTTTTTTTCTTTTCTTTCTGAAATATTTATCGTTGTGAAAGTTTGTGTCGTTATTTATTTTTTTAGTATATGTATGGTCTTTTCTGTATTTCTAGTCATCGGCAGTTTTTTTTTCCCGACTTTTACTACTGCTAAACTGAATTCTAATATTTTATTGTATTTTTTTTTTTTTTAATTTGGACAAACAATCATCATGAACTCTTCAGTTCCAAAAAAAAAAAAAATTGTTTTTTATTTTATTTTTATTTTTTGCGCTATTAACCGACTCCTCTTACGTCATATCATTTTGTTTGTCTTTACTTTCAGTCTCTTTATTTGCTTAGTTATTCGTACTTGTTTTAGAGCCTCAATTATTTGTTATCGTTTATTATCAAATTATTTCTACTGTCTATCACACAAGTATCAGTAGTAACCATTTTTTTTTTTTCAGTTTTTGTGGTTTTATTGGAGAAAGAAAAAAAAGGAAAAAAGGGGGAAAAAAAGGAAAAACAAAAACAAAGCTTTTCGATTCTCCAATGTGCTTTGGTTTATTTGCGTATGTGTGTGTCGGCAGATTGTATGTATGTCTGTGTGTGTACGTGTGTCTGTGTGTCTGTGTGTATGTGTGTGCGTTTATGTTTAACTATTGTGTGTTCAAAAGCCAACAGCGTATATAGCGAAAATGTGAACAGTTTGTTCTTTCCTGAACGTATTTGTAGGCAACATTTTGTAGACTGGTGTTTAAATTTTGTTTTATTCTCTCCAGCAGCCCTTTGAAATTTTCTTGAAAATTCTTCTACAAAGAAAAAAAAAAAACACAGTTAGTTTAATTGGTTGGGTAGGAACGAAACAAAAAAAAAAAATTGGAAAACATTGGAATAGAAAAGGAGGAAGAAGGAGGAAGGTTTGTTTTCAGCAGTCTTCACCATATTAAATGGTCTCTATGTGATTATTGAAGTTTTGTCTGAAAGGTTGTGTTCATTTAAGTGATATCAAAGGGTATATGAAGGATAAACAAAAGTACGGTAGAAAAAATGAGATTTTTTTCGTCATTTGAAAATAATTGTTATTGTTATTGTAATTATTATTATTAGTAGTAGTATTGTTATTAAACTTAATTTTTGCAATAATTATTGAGTACAAATTTTTTTTTTTTTTGATTTTCATGAGAGTGAGATCGTAAAGAAATTTCCATAATGTTGACGTCACAGTGGGGAGTCAACTTTGTTTGTTTTATATTTGTTTCTACTGCTTCTGCAGCTACTGTTATTGCCACTGCTGGCGACAGTGCTGATGCTACAGTTGCTGATCAGTGGATCAATTTTTTTTTCCTTACAAATATGAACATCAAAAAAAGTTGTAGAAGTTCAACAGATAGTTGTTGTTTAATAAATTTTATTTGAGGTAACTGCAGTTCAGTGTGTAATATAGGCCTTCATTTTTTGTTGCCATGATTCGAATGTTCAAAATCTTTATTTACTTTGTGCTCTACTCAGTGTTTTTTTTTTTTTTGCATTTTTTTTCTCATGAATTTTACTGCAGTTATTGTTTTTGTTGCCTATCGGTTGCTCTTGTTGTTTTTTTTTGTATCAGTGATACAGAACAGTTTTGGTAAATATAGCGCTTTAAATGAAGCTATTTTTTGCTTGAATATGTTGAAGATTTTAGATTTCTGAAGTTTCCTTTTTTCATGTTTAATGTTGTTCTTGACGAATACTTGACTCATTTAAATTTTTGAAGAATTATTTAGATAGGCCGACTTGATGCACTTTTCGGATAATCGGCTGACATTTTCAGTTTCACAAGTGGGGGGTAAAGCTGCATACATTAGACCACTGCTCTATCGATGAAAGCTCTGCATACTGGGTTTCAGGTTGTTCTTTTTTTTTTTTTTTTTTTTTTTTTTTTTTTTT